TTGAAAATTGACGATGGACCGGTGGGATTGAATTCATTATTTGCTCTAGCTTACTGAAACCATGAAAAACTTACTCCAAAAAAAAACAAACAAGGCCTGTGAACTTCCACAAAAATTACAAGCGATTAAAAAGTTATCTATTTCTTATGGTAATTTGCCTGTTCAAAAAGTAGCCAAAAAACCGTATACTTATTTAGACAAACAAAAGAGTTTGTTATTATTAATGGCGAAAAGATTGGACGTTTGTCTTGTACGTATGACACTTGTTGTTGCTGTTGTATCTGCAGGCTAACATTCTGTCGCTGTTTTATGTGCAACAGATTGTTGACTGGATAGTGGATGCGTTTTGGTGAGTGTACACCCAAAGACTCTCCTGTGATTGGCATCATCAGATTCAGAAGATAAAAAATCACAGCTTTTGAAAGGGGCTGAGCAGGATATCAAGCATTGCGCATCATTCACAAAGATGGTGAAGCGAGCGCTACTTGTGGGTTGTAATTACATCGGAAGGCCTTTTCGCCTGTATGGATGTGCAAATGATGTCCATGCCATGAAATGCCTCTTGATTGAACAGTTTGGATTTCCTCCTGAAAACATCACCATTTTACTTGATTGCGATCCTTCCTACGAGTATCCGACGGGAGCAAAGATCAAAGAAGAGTTGCGTAATATGTGTGATGGAGCAGTTGCAGGTGACATTCTCGTATTCCACTTTAGTGGCCATGGGACACAAATTCCATCAGACGACTCCTGGTTAGTGGAAATTGACGGGAAGGACTCCGCACTGGTCCCAGCGGACATCAACCTCATTGTGGTCAGTCTCTCTCTCTCTCTCTCTCTCTCTCTCTCTCTCTCTCTCTCTCTCTCTCTCTCCCTCTCTCTCTCTCTCTCAGATGTCAACTTCATTGTGGTCACTCTCTCTCCCTCTCTCTCTCTCTCAGATGTCAACTTCATTGTGGTCTCTCTCTCTCTCTCTGTGTGTGTGTGTGTGTGTGTGTGTGTGTGTGTGTGTGAAACGGTCTCACCCAGATTGTGCGACAGTGCAGATCCCAGGGCTTGATCCCTGGGCCTACCTGTATCCCTGTACAGCTACCTGTAGACCCTGTGAGCCTCGAACCCGCGACCCGTCCGTAAAACGACATAGGTTAGTGCTTCGTGCATTAGTTGGGTCATCGTCCTTGAACCGTAGTTCTTAGGATTAGTAGTCCTAGGAGTCAGTCTAGAACCCAGTTGACCGTAGCTGAGTCAGCAAGGGAAGTCGTAACTCTAGCTGTATCGAAGGGTCAGTCCTAAGTCGCCTAGGACCTTCTAGAACCGTCAAAGCTGGCTCTTCGGACCGGTAAGGGTTAGTCAGTCGTCGCTTAGGAAGTTCCACACTCGTCAAGTTGTTTCCACCTTGTCTAGTCAGCAAGTACCAGGTCGGGCTGCACTTCTTTGAGCCCTGGACTGAAGGCAGGCCAGACCTTGACGAAACAGTAGAAATAAAAAGGCAGTGCCCAGCCATTCATTCATTCGCTTGTAAGCCATGCGGAAGCACTGCTGGTGCGACTTGTGTAAGGAGGTCTGCAGGTGCCCGAAGACGAAGTGGGTAGAGGAGGACGACGGCGGGCATAGCCACCTAGAGGAGGAAGACAACGGCGGCCATAGCCGCCAAACTGCTGATGTCAACAGAGAGTGTAGTGTCGAGTGCGTGTGTGGAATATTCAGGGTAGATCCTAGTGCGTGCATGCATGAGTGCGAGTGTGTCTGATGGTGGATACCGGGTACGAGTGAGACTTCAGACAGTCGATCAGTCGCCATACCTGCAAGCTGTAACAAGTTGGCTTATGCCAAGTACTGGCCAAGGGCCATATTTCTGTGGGGGCCCTGTGCGCCATCTCACAATTGTTGCTGATTCTGCTTTCTGCCATCGACATCTGTGTGTGTGTGTGTGTGTGTGTGTGTGTGTGTGTGTGTGTGTGTGTGTGTGAGAGAGAGAGAGAGAGACGCCCGTGAGGAAGAAGAAGATAGTTCGCCATAGTGGACGGCGGACGTAGCTGCCGAGCTCGGAGGAAGAAGACGACGGATGACGAAGACGAAGGTGACCCAGTAAGAGAGAGAGGTGACGAAGGTGAAAGGAGAAAGGAGGAGGGTGACGAAGGGGAGGACAACCGCCATAGCCAAGTGTTGATCGGAGAGAGTTGACCAACTAGCGTTGACCAAGTCGAGTTGACCAGCAAAGTTTGACCGGCGAGCATTGACCAGAGAGGGTTGACCGACATCGATTGGCGAGCGTTGACCAGAGCCTTTGGCCAGGCTGGAGTGCGGAGCATGGAGCGGTATAATCTCTTCAAGCCCTGGCCTTACCCCTTTTGCCTTGTGGATGTTGCACACTCACCGTGGTACTTGGTGAGAGTCAGTTGTCATCTCTTTCTGCATCGAGTCGCTTATGTCCAGGTCGATAGGTTCTGTGCATGTGGTCTGATAGGGGCTGTGAGCTAGTGTCTGCATGGGACTTAGTAGGGGTTGAGGTGAATCTGACGCTCGACGACCTGGGAAAACATCCCAAGGACCGTAGAGACCGGCAGGTTGCTCCGGGTGGTACGCTATACCTGAACTTCGAGCTGCAGAGCGGGTGTCCAGTCTTTATAAGTCCTGAGAGGACTTTGGATGTGATCGTCATCTGCGGCGTTAAAGAATTCTCGAGGAGTTATGGGGGATCTCCTTAAATGCCTCCTGATCAGCCAATAAGTAATTGATAAATTACTTAGAAAAAGTAGAGTATTATAGATAAAGCAATACATCTTTATAGAAATGTAGTAGGTAGGTACTTATTCTGATATTAAATTCAAATTATCATATATTCATGAATATATGATAAAGATGTAGCTTAGACTAGAATCAAGTAGTTGACGAAGTGTCAACCCGAAGTGGAAGCTATGTGGGTTTTAGCGACTGTGGTTGTGAACGCATCCATCGACATTGGAAAGTTTGGTGATTGTGGTTGTGAAAGCATCCGACGACACTGGAAAAACTGATGATTGTGGTTGTGCTCGCATCCGTCGGCAGTGGAAAGTTTGGTGACTGTGGTTGCGAAAGCGCCGACGGTTGTCGTAACCTGGTTGAAGCAGAAGGAAGACCTCTGTAGTCCTATAGAGAGTCAGAGTCTAAAGGGTTGGTCTACGTGTTGAAAAGTGGAATCATCAGTGATTTTGCATTGTCAATATGGTGACCACCAGAACCGAAATGAGCACCAGCCCCTATAGTCAAGCACGGGAAGAGAGGGCTGCCACAATTCTTTGTGAGGAGAAGGAGAAGATGGAGAAAAGAGAGCTGATCGGACAGGCAAAGAAATTGGCCTTGTTGGAGGAGGAAGAAGCCAAAAAGAAGCAGATGGAAGAAGAAATGGAGAGATGGAAGAGGGAGCAAGAGGCAAAGTTGGTGGCAGTAGAGGCAAAAGAAGAAGAAGAAGGAGAAGAGGAAGAGGTATAGGAAGAATCTTTGTTGCGAAGAAGGGGGGAGGCGAGTTCAAGCAGGACTCCAGCAGAGGAGGTGGAGAAGGCAGTGAAAGAATGGGTAGCTAACTTATCCTTGGGGGAAGATAAAGAGGCAGAGCTAAGGATTCCCCAAGCAGAGAGAGAGGTGGTAATAAGAGAGTTGGACGGAGAAAGAGATCCTTTGTGTCGGCAAGCAAGGGAACAAGGAAACATTTGGAGTGGAAGTTGCGCCTAGCACAGGAAAGGACCAGGCGCTTAGATGTGGCAGAGAAGACGGAAAGGGAGTTAAAGGCGACAGAGACAAGGATGAGGAAGATCAAGGATGAGACAAGGATAGGAAAGATGATCGACACCCTATCCCAAAGCGTAGCCTTTACCGACTGCCCAACGAGAACAACTGAAACATATTTGCGGCCATGATATCGCACTAGAGTCCGTACGAGTCGGATTTCGAGAATTTGCACAAGACATGATGACTCGTTTGGGGAGATCCATAGAGCGACAGGGAGGACTGAAAAATTTTGTACGGGCGCCATAGAGGGCGCCAAGATAGCGGTGCCTAAAGAAGAAGAGTCCAGACCCCGCCGCGAAAAAGTCAACATCCGGTTTCCCGAGCCCTTCAGTGGAAAGAATGGGGAGGATTTTGACAATTGGGAGGCCAACGTCCATTCATATGTGTACCTACAAGGCATAGCCTAGAAGGATCATGTCTTGGTAGCCTTCCAGGCTCTGAGAGAGGAAGTGGCCAACTTTGGACGGTTGCTCGCACGTGCAGCCCACTGTGAGAATGACATGATCCAATATTCCACCATCACCCACCTCATTGGCTTTCTTGCCAGGTTGCGAGAACACTTTGCGGACGCCACAACCGCGATAAAGGCGTCTGACAAACTCCAAACAATCCACACATGGCAATGGAGGAGCGTACATGCTCTAAAGGCCGCTATGGATGAGCTTATTGTTGTACCAGGACACAAAGTGACAAAGGCCCAACTCGTCCAACTCTTTTACTGCGCATTGCCCGAGCAAGTGCAAGGGCACTTCTTTGCTAGGAAGTAACAGTCCGGAATGACATACGATACCCTTAGTAGGAACGTTGTTGCATTTGCTGCCCAAGCTATGCCAGTTACCCCTTTTTGGCATAAGGATGTAAAAAGGAAAAATGTGGAAAGGATGCACCATCTCTGGCCAAGTCAAGGCCAAAGATAGTTTGATACGCACAATGGAGGAAGGTGGTGCGGAGCAAGTCCCAGACACTGATATCGAATGGGGACTATTGGAAGAAGAGGAAAACAATAGGGTGGAAAAGGGGAGTACCTATGTTGTTGTCACGGCCGGAGGGAGGCCGCAAGGAGGAGGACAAGGTCGAGGCAGGAATGGCTAGGCCTCAGGTGGCCGAGAATAGGGTGGCCAGGGGGTTGGCAGCAACAAGGAACGGCAAGCGGGAGGTAGGGGTCAAGGTCCCCGGTCTAATCGTTCGCGTCCCAGTCGGTCACCTCCCAGAAGGGGAGCATGGCACACAGGACGACCCGAAGGACGGCCATGGGAGGATTTGGGAATAGGGCAGAATGTATGGCAGGACCTTGTAGACAAATACCAATGCGTGCTCTGTGGAGACCCCAGGCATATTATCAAATTTGCCCAGGGCTCGCGTTGCATCGGGGGCAGCAAAAGGCAACCGTCGATAGGGATAGCAATTGCCCGTGCCCTTGGAGTACGTGAAAATGAGTCCGCGTGCAAAATAGAAACTCCCACTCCACGCATCCAGAGGTTGCTGGCCAGTGTCTAGCTAGCTGCCCAGAGACTGCATGCGTTAAGGTCTCACTAGACGATTCCCTCACAGGCCTAGTTGAAGAGTTGAAGGAGAGAAGGCTGGTCTGGGCCAAAACGAAGAAGGAAAAGGGCAGCTAATCCTCACAGATATGGAGGTCTTTAGTGCCAGAGTAAGGGCCCTTTTAGACAGTAGGGCCACTTGGAGTTATATCAGTCGTAAAGCACTAAAGAAGTTGAGGCTGATAAAGAAATAAGGTCATGTATTTACAATCATATACGTAATCATGTACGTAATTCTTCAAATTATGGAGGAATTGCTCGAATTCATATTTATCGTAGAACTGATTTAGTTCAGTTACAAATTCATACTGGATTTCCAGCATTACTTATTGAAAACCGGATTAGAGGATTAGAACATCTTCGACGAGACATAACAGCTACTCTTTTTGTCTCAAGATATTTGTGCTTTTACTCGGTTTTTTTCATATATTTTATTATGTATATGAGTATGATAAATTATCATTCATAATTCATTCCCTATTTAATCTATAAATAGCATATATTC